AAAACCCTTAAACTTTAAATTAGTACTATATTTATATATTTTATTTCAACAAATCTCTCACTAAAAATAAATAAAGGTAATTTGAAAAGTACTAATTTCAAGTTTTAAGGTTTTTAGTATCCCGCTGGCACCCCTTCATTTCTTTTGCGAAGAGTTTTTTTCTGTTGTAAATTTAGACTAATTACTACAATCAAGTACTTATTTATTAAATTACAAAAGCAGGCTTAGGTACATATATACATTTTTAAGGTGTATTTCTAGATTTAAACGATTAAGGGCAAATGGTAAACGTTTTAAAATAATCATTTTACCTATTCGTAGTTGTTAAAGTTTTCAATTTTCGGTGCCCATTCAACGGTGGATTTGGGATTTGTTTGCAACGAGAAGATATTTCGAGTGCGGTCGTTCGGGCAAGTATCGTTTTTACTTTTCAAAAAACCAAATGTTTGGCGTCACTCCCAGTTAACCGGGGAAGGTCGGCCATCACAACATTAACCACCTCAACGGTAGCCGCGGTCCGACAGTATCGTGTTACCTAGTAGGTATATAATGTGGTCGGTCCGACGTGTCACGTTCGAGTTAAGTGGTCCTGATACCTGTTTGCTCAACCCTCTTGAGCACGTGTGTTGTGGTAGACTTGAGGTATAAATCATTTTATCGGGGTGACCTGATCACCAACAAAGGTTTTCAACACTAGCACTACCGCGTGTTACTGCGAATTAACTTGTTTGCCGATAAGACCGAAGCCTATATTATAATAACATATTAACCGCATCAGCTATCGATAAACGAAAGCCTCTTCTTAATCGGGTGGGTTATCGGAGGAGGTTTAGGGAGAAAATTAAACTAAAAAAAAAACCAAACTAATCATCGTAATAATATCGCGCATTACTCAGAAGCGTTCGGATAGGTTTTCTAATCGCGCGCTAAGTACATACACGCATTACCATAGAGTACACGATGTCTGGTGTAGTAATTATTGTTTAATGAGACAAACAGTCAATGGCCGTCTGCAGATTGACCGGTTTCGTCCGATCAAACGACTTTCGCCGGGCAGTTCATTTTGAACATTCGAACGGATTTGTATATATTTATGATGATGATGACGATTGGCCACCACAACGTCGTATTTACATATTATTATAGGCCGAGAGGTTAATTGCCGCCCGTCGATACGTTTTATGCACTTGGATGATTACAAAAGCGGTACCTATGAGTCTTGTCGAACCGATGCAACGCTGCGAACGTTTAGAGAGAAAACTGCTACAAGGCACTGGTCGTGGATTGAATGGTCACAACTCATAACGCGAAGCCGTATTAGAGTCCACTGGGAAGACCAAAACGGAGATGCGACTATGTGTTCGAGTAGGGCGTAGAAACATCAAGAGGGGTTTCTGTTTTGAAAAGAAAGAGCGAAGATAAAACAGCATTAAGTATGCAGCAGGGCTGTCTTAAACGCAGGGAAGAATAATTAAGGAGTAAAGTACAAGTCATTTTTCGATAAAACATGACACAAAGCTAAAATGTGTATGCTCGTTTTATAACGCAGTCAGACATGTGTTATCATTGTGCTTAAACCAGTTTCGAGAGATGAACTTCTTTGGTAAGTTGTACACTTTTAGTACATATTTACCTATAAACAAAGTTAAATAATATCAAGAGTTTAGCTATATATTCCTTGAGGCTTTTTTCGATAACATTGTTTGCAACTAGTGTATGATTTTTTGAAAATTTCAAAATTTTATCTAATCTGAAGACCTATGACTCTGTTGACCGCAGAGATGGCGAGAAAAGGGCAGGAGGTTAGGCCTGGAGTGGGGATTGACTATAATAAACCCATTGCCGGGTACGGTCACCGCGTTTTGTTTGTAGCTCACGTGCGCCGGTCAAGTCCCCTAACGACAAGTATTACATATAGCCATGGCCCATGTACTCTTATAGTATGAAGTCGGTACAAGTGGAAACCGTGACTTGGCCGACATAATAACGCGCAAACGAATGCCGGTATACATCATAGGAAAGCCACTGCGGCCACGGCCAACCCTCTTGTCGGACCTGCGTAGAAGAAACTAACTCGAGCATTATGTATTGTATTATTATTGTAATGATAATGGTTGTACGGGTGCCGTCGCGGTTAATTTTTTTTTCTGGTAAAAAACACCGTTTAGCTATGTATTATAGGGTCAACCCAGGTCACACGAGCGCCTTTATTGTTCTGGACGCAAACGGCGACGGATTCGGAGTGCAACCGGTTTGGTCAAACACATTATAATACACACACACATTGTATGTGTGTATATTATGTTTTAGGACAATATATTCCGTTTATAATAATAATGATAACGATAATAATAATAATAATAACATCGTGTGCGCCGGCCAAGGGGCGATGCGAACCTATCTGGCGGCGATCGTGATCGACCGTGTCGTGCGGCACCTCCTCTTCGTGGATTGCCCAACGCCGCATCGTCTTCTCCATTGTTATTATCATCGTCGACAATTATTAGAGAGGGTTGGGAAGAGATAATAACCACAAGGGAGGGAAAGGGGTTAGCGAGACCCGCGGTATTGGGACCCGAACTCTTGAGGGACAACATGCGCACTTTATTTTGAAAAACATTGGCAAGTTTCGATTTCTGTCAGTTATAGCGGTTTTTCATTTATATAATATGTAGCCAAAAGTTGTATTTTTCTATCTACAAATATATACAAATGAATACATATTAAAATCTGCCTTGGGGCCACTTTGGCCCGTGAGTAGGCCGACCGGAGTTGAAACTTGGAAGCTATGTGTTTTTTTTAAAAAAAATACCATCTTAGGAGTCTAAGAAAATGTCGACTACTCATATCCGTGTCTCAGAACAGACGAACTGAAGTCACATTATGCCAACTTTTCAAGAAAGCATAAACAAAGCTCGTATGAGGATTTGCACTCTTCTTTATAAATCTAGTAATTATATAAGGATAAATTTTAACGGAATTCCTTTGATATGGACTTTGGGTAGGCAAAATTCTACATGCAAAACTGCAATAACCTCAAAATAGTAATTTTTGATCTTTTATTAGTTTGGTCTTGAGGTACAGTTAAATGGACGTTATATCTATATCATTGTATCTAACGCAGATAAATTGTATAAGGTTTTATAGTAAAAACGCCTGTTAAAGGGTATAACGTGAAATACACTGAGAACGTTAACCGGACTCCTCGGTTAAAAATGAAAACAAAGAATTCTTTTAATGAGGTCCCGGATTTTCGTACAGTTCCGGAACTTAAAATCGATTGAAGAGGGGGGAGATCAAAGAGGTACACACAGATAACTGAGTTTTGCCTATTGGTGTACCTTCTGTATTATATTATCATACCTTGGTTTATGTTTTATATAGACTGGTATTTTTTGTGTTTTATCAGTAACGCGTAAAAGCTGAACAACCTTTATTTTGATTTTATTAGATATCTTTTTTTTTTGTACTCTTGTTTTTTGGATGAATGAGTTCCCGCAGTGACCCTTGTCACAAGTATGGCGCCACCGCAGAGACAACGACTCAAAACCATACTAGCATGGCGTTATCTGCTAGGTATAGTACTACAATAATAAGAACATCATGTGTTTAAAATACATAACGTCTCAGCGGGACGTTTGCCGGCGCCGGACAGGGCTCACACTGGCGACACGGGCAATGGTGAAGGAGACGATGCCAAGAAACGACAAGCCATAAACCCAAAGAGGCCATCATAACATTTTTTTTTTAACATAAGTTGTTGTAAAACACTAAAGGTGTGCAAACAGTAGTCCAATCACAACAACAACAACTACCCTTATAATACATAGCGGCATTATTAGAAAATAAACCAAGGGGGTTCAAGCTCCCTGATCTAATATATAATTTATTCTACACATCTATTTAATTGTACGAATAGTTGAAAAAGTATTGTAAATACTATACCTATAAGAATATTGCAATTTATTATTTGAGTTCAAATTTTCTGGGTTCCCCCCCCCCCTCGAAAATATTGAGTAGGTACTTATAAATTATGTTGTACGTACGTCCCGAGTATTTACTTAGATAAAATGCATTTCATTGGTTACATTAAGGATTAAAATAAAATTCAAAAAGGTAAACAATTGAAAATTACACATCCCGTTAATGGAATACTAATAGCATAATTGAAATTAATGCTCTTTTGAGTGTCACGGGACTATGTTTGATTTTAAGTTTACTCAAATAACTAAACCTACTTTAATTTAAAGCTTATAAAAAATAATTTTCAAAAATAATACGTCATAAGCGGTAAACGCCCAAAATGTATTTTTTGTAAATCTTAATTTTTACCTAAACCATTTGAAATGTTAGAGCCATTTAATAGAGCCATTGCTTTTAGCAATATATAAATAATATTTTTTTTTCACTAGCAAGTTTTTCTGTTTACACGTCTATTTTTTCAGCGTTATAACAAATTTTTAGGATTATGTTTTTTTATAACAAAATTAACATTCGAAATAGATAATTCTCGCTAAACCCAACCTATAGTATAGTAATAAAATAATTACATAGTTTTTGGAAAACAGTTTTTTTCAGCGCCGTTTTAATCACGTTATCTAACTGTGCTAAGAAATCGATGAGCACTGCAAAATATAATTGTCAGTTAAGCCTATAATTAGAACAAACGGGGAAATATCGTAAAGATATTACATGAATTTACCCAAAACACGATATTAGATTAAAATTCTATAAACGCCAAGAATATTGTCAGAAATGTATACAAATTTTTTTTTGCACTTGGCTACCAACTTTTTTTTTCAGTCCTTAACGACCCCTTCGGTTTTGGTTGTACCGGAAAACCACGTCGACTCGCTTCCTAATCGGATTGATTACTTTATATAATATGGACGCGTAAACCGAACCCTACACCGGTAGTCCCCGGACAGAGGGGTATTTTTGCATTAGGCAAACGTCTTAATAATAATAATAAAACTAAAATTTTTTAAAAAAAAACTCACCCGGTGTTGACAGGACGGCCGCAGACTTGGGTATGGTGTTACCGGCTGCAGTTGCCGCGGCGGAGAATCATGTGCATTATATCCTTATGTACACGTTGAAACGATGACAATATATTATTCGTTTTTGGGATAAAAATGAATTAGTTTTCGGTATAAAAAAAAAAAACGCGGTAAATATTAAAAATAAACGACGACCGCCGACGAACAAAAAACAGCGAACGAGCGACCGGCATCGACGTCGGAGGAAGACTGGTCTCTCTAAGGTCTAGACGGTAGGACTGCAGCTATAGACAACAAACGCCCGCACGCGGTACTCGCGGTATATAACACATATAATAATAATAATATAAACACACGGTTTTCGACTTACAAAGGGTAATCACCTGCGACCACTGCTCGACGCTTGCTTGCTTGCTTACGTGCCTGCTGTAAGCAATACCCGACGACGACTGCCTGGAGCCGAGGTCGATTCTCTGGCGGTGGTGGATGATTATTGTATTTTAAGTAGAAAAAAAAAACCGGTCTACACACCCGGTCGTGTCGTGTACGTACAAGGTCGGTCGTCGAAAACGGGTAGTAACCGACCCCCGTAACCACCCCCCATAAGTGTACACCGGTCCACAACCACCCCGAGTATACAGGGTGTTGCAAATATCCGAAGAGGACGCTACCCTACCCGCCGGTGTTTTGTAGTGTTAAAAAAGGGGTTTTGCGTCAATCGATACTGTAGAGGCTGTGATTGAACTACAATTACAGAATTGACCAAATGTTCATAGAAAAAAAAAAAAGAGGAAAATATTATCTATGCAAAAGCGTGAAAAATGTTTTTTCTATGCATTTTTAAAGTAGGTTTTTTTAGTATTTTTTCAATAAATTATTAAAAATTAGTTGATTTTAGTCATCGAAAATTGAAGAACGATAAAAGCGGCAAGCGCAAATAAAGTTATCCGTTATTTATTGTAAACAATTATTGACCATAATACAATTTCAAGACACTTTGGTTTTGATGGAAAAAAATTGTACTTATTTCTAGTAAATGATAGTCTGACAACAACAAAATAACACCCAACGGCTATCTTGTTTTTTTAAGTAGGTAAATGTAAAAGCGTGAAAGTTATTATTTTAAATTGCTCACGTGTACATGTAGCCTATAAAATAATGATTTACTTAGAAAAAACAAGTATTTTTCAATTAGCCTGGATTACCTATATTACAATGGGTATGAATATTTGTGGGTCACCCTGTATATGATACAACATAGCATTATGTATTAAACCGTACACAAACTGCGCTTGAATGGATACAATAACAGTTAAGGCCAAAGCAGATGGAAGCGATATGTCATACGACACATAATTATGCTTAATTAGGATTTAGGCATTGATATTAATTATACATAATGACGAGGAGCGTTATGGACAAAAATGAATATAGACCGTTAAGGTACATTTGATAATATCTACCTGGAAATACGGTCCGCGTTTAGGTTTTTTTTATGTAAAATTCCATCGCCTGATTATACACTATTGTAATTTTGCGTGCCTCTGCTCTGGCGTAAGGTTGGGTCAGTTTAGACATTATACTAATTTTAGCTCTGCGAGAGCTGTAACCAGTAGCGTACCCAGAAGAAGCGTATAATGGTGGGAGATATATCTCCTAATAAAATTGTTTACTAACCAACAAAATTGAGTTGTTAACAGGAAATTAACTAGTTTATCTATTATGGTCAATTTTTAACCCTTAACTTGGCAACGGCTAAATAATACATCTTTATTAATGTAATTAAAAACATAAAAAAGTGAACTTTTAAACGATAAATAAAAATAAGCTCATAGAGATATCTACTAACAACACCGTCATACCATGGTGTATAAAATTATGGTTTTCTATAATTTTCCAAAGTTTCAAAGCTCTATGATTACTACAAACAAGTAGGACAAATAACTAATTTTACACCTAAAATTACGATTTTGTGCGTCTCCTTAACGCAATAATAGCGTCTAATTAAATATATAAAAAAAATAAGACCAAAAAAAAAATATGTTAAATACAATGCCAGTTTTAAGAGAGAATTTCATAAACACTTTGTTTGGGGCGTATGTAAGGACATAGAAAATACACGGCGTGGGAGAAAAAACATATAAATGTGCTTCGTTTACCCACCTGTAATAGTTTAAAGGCAAGTACAAGAAGCAAACAATAAAGTCAGTATTATCCCTCGCGTAGCAAAAAAAACAAACAAACACTAACTAATCATTGATGACATATTTTGTTTGTTCATTTGTGATCATAATTCATACATTTATTTCGACATTAACACAAAACAAGTTGCCTCGCGTCACTTAGAAAATCATCTAGCATTGTAAATACAATATTGTATAAACAATATTATATTGTACAAGCTGTGCCGACCTTAAACCATACACGAATCAACTTAATCGCTCACACAAAATGTCATAAAAACCTGTCCAGCCGTTTAGGAGGATTTTGAATACTTACAGAAGAATATAAATATAAAGAATACAATATAGTTATAAAAAAAATGATATTATCGTACACCTGTCAATGGGCTGTAATTAATTTTTGGTATGCCAAATTTTGGATTTGCTATCATTTGACAAACTATGCACGTTATTAGCACTTGGTTACCGTGGATTTTAATAAGTATTTTTTGTACACCTACTTTTTTTTTATTGGTATTGTTAGATATAGACATTTTGTGGAAGATTACAAAATATATTTATGATTTGCTTTCGTTCACCGATAAGACCCACACGGCAACGTTGCATGAGAGATAGCAGGTAAAACCGTTCGCAATCGCGTTATCGAAAAAGATACTGCCAATAACGACCGTTCACAATCGTGTTACGCCTGTATTTACATATGAATTGTGAAGTTTGAGAATTAATTGATGTTTTTTCACAAATTAAAATTTAGAAGGTTTTTTATAACCACACCGACTTAACCGTTTTTCTGAAATTTACACGTGTACAGGACTTTGTAAAACTGTTTCTAGTCGTACAATTTATTTTTCATAAAATATAGGTTTATTTTGAAGCGTAATAAAAACAAAAAAATTAACCGCCCGGACAGGGACTTGAACCCTGGACCCTTAGGTTAAAAGCCTAATGCTCTACCGACTGAGCTATCCGGGCACATGTTGAAATTCGACCAAACATACTTATCTGATTCGCTCACTTTTTTTATGTGTGATATTTTTTTTTATTTTTAATTCCGTATAATAACCTTCAATAAATGTTACCAATAACAATTTACACTACCATGCAAATTAAATATTTAAATACTCGGCTTATTTAGTTTGATTACTGTTTTTAGGTGTTTAACTTAGTACAGAGAGGTCGGGGCATAGTGGGGATGGAGAGGTCACATGCCTACAGGAATTATTATAACTGAAAGCGATAAAATCATTTCTAAATAAACGTATGTTTAAGCCACACATAGCAACCTAAAAACTGACTCTAAGTATAATTTTTCCCTTTTTTTTTGGGTTTCCCTTAATAAAAAAAACGGATTCTAGTGTTAAAATTCTTCAGAGAAACCCATTCACCTTTGTAAATATAGACTTCCATTGAATCCATAATTGATAATAATACAATTATTACGATCATGTTTTTGTATTAAAAAAAAACCAAAAATGTTAGCATTGTGCCGTTTCACAGCAGTAAGTATAATATAAACAAGTGACTAGGTTGTTAAGCGAGTCGTGAGTCTCAGTGTAATTACAAATGGTGGGCACGTACGTTTAATTATACGGTAATAGCATTATTATCATTCGGTTTTTTTGATTTGTATAATGATAAAAAAATGTATTTTACACTAACCCGAAACAAAAGTTTATAGATTCAGTGTTGGTTTCTACTTTCTTCATCCGTTCGGTCGGAAATATGAGTTGGATAATCGACGGAAGTCACTAATCACATAGTACGCTTACACGGACAAAATTAAATGTATTACCAAGATTAAAACACATACATATTGTAATGGAGTAGGTACTAAAAAAATAATAATCCCAACTCTTTTATCAATTCGGTGGATTGACCTATCATTATAATGTTATATTATCCGACGGAATTGATTAAAACCGGAGGCCTATGTACATATTTGGTCGGTCATAATATTATCACCGCGTTGGTCGAAAAGTATACGTTCTGGGTACATAAGTCTTGTGCCTAACCTACATTCAACTTTAATATAAAACAATCTTACTAGGACAATTTGTACCTACATGTTTAATTACATAATAACATATTGTAAACTTTCACAATATTAATTATAATATTATTAATACACTGAATATACATTTTATAGCGACTTGATTTTCAATCGAATTTGATTATGTATTTTCTAAATTTCTCCTAACTTCTAACTAAATTCTTGATGCTATTTCGGATTTTTGTCCAATAGAACACGTAGTACGACTATCATAGTTAAAATTTGAACTTGATTATCCTCGTTCTAAGATGCCAATTTTTTCATTCAGTATATCTGTTCTCGTTTCACGCACAAACAACACGTTTAATGATCGCTAGACTTACTCAAGATATACCTCGAGTACCTTCGGTAAATTGTATTATTCCGCTGACTCTATTTGGAGAACAATAACATTCATCACTAGCCTGCAGCAATAAGGTGCCTATCCGCGAATACAGAAAATGTAAGGTGTGCCATATTTAAAAAAAATGGGCGTACGATTAATATCCACGAAAGTGCGTGGAACCTAGTGAACGGCATAAAACGTCGTCCTATTGTTTCGGTTGGATTATTAAAAAAAAATAAAAAATGCACTATAACACAACATTTTGTAGGATGTCTTATCCGAGTGTGTATATGTTATTATGTTTCTTAAGTGCGTCCAAAGACTTTCTCGCCCCAGGCTGTTGTTCGTTCGACTTTTTACGTGTTCCGACGTTAAAATTATAACCGTTCTATTATTATGTGCCCCCTGCTCCCCCCCCCCAACAAATTTGAGATCCCCGAACGTTTTCGTCGACGTGTTCTCGACCATCGAAACAGACCGATAATTAAAACACTGCCTATATAGTATGGTGTTGTTCATTTATTCAAATCCAACATCAAAGACCCGGCCACTTGGTCACTGACGGATGAACCAGGTCCGTCACACTAATCCACATGTGTATTTTATTAATATATATATATATATATATATATATTAGGCATACGCCCTTTACGTGTTCTCGTTGTAAGCACTAGGTGTTCGTATCACCGGATTTGTCGAAAAACGAATAACATTATTCTTGGGTAGCGTATTAGGTATATATAATAATATTACATTAAAAATGAATACATTTACCTATCATCGACCGAACGAGTGCGTCAATAACCACTTGAAGTGATCTCTACAAGAGTTGCCATCATTATTTTCTCGGTTATCAACTAAGTCACGCTTGCACTCC